CCAACCTGAGTCCACGCGTGCCCTCAAGAAACGTCGCCGGTTGTGGCAAAGCTTGGCCAACTCCCTTGATTCAGAAATGTTGGGTATGAGCACTCCGTGCTCCGACGGGCCGACTGAAAGTTGTCCAGTCGGCCGTCCAAACGTGGCTCAAACTTCTCTCACTTCCTAAGTGGATCGGATGAAAACAGCCCAACCTCTTGGCGCTCTAAGCTCAGCTTCCCTCTAAGTGGTTTGGATTGGTTGCACTCAACCAGGCCTTCAAATCCAGTTCCCAATCCAAACCACTGAGGTTCTGAACACCCCTTCTCATCGGGCCAGGCAGCCCGGAAGTGCTTGGATTCCTTTGGGCTTCCCTCTAAACCAAAACCAAGAAAGGTAGCCTCAGAAGAAAAAAACAAGGGGGCGTTTCCTGTTGAGTCTCCTACTCCATTTTTTGCCCCCCCAATTTTGGGAAACCTATTCTCCCGAGCTGACCCTCACCGGCCAGACGCCGCGTGAGCGGATGCCGTTGACAAGTGCCAAAGCAGAAACGACTTACATGTGTAACTTGTACTAACGTGCATCTTCGGACAGTCAAACACTTGTGCCTGTGCGAGCCTTTTGCAATGGAGGCGGCTTCGCACTGCTTCCTCTTGTCAATGACAAATGACTGGCTAATCACAAGCATCGCAATGCCCGATCGCAACCTGTCCTCGCTGAACGGCCCAAAACACCGCCCCAGGCACCTATAATTCCCGTCAAGGGGCGGCCGCGTGGGGGATGCATTTGGAGCGTTCAGCTGAATCACCATTCGAATCGGGCTGTTTATATGCGAGAGATGCCTTTTGATCACCAGTTTTCAGTGTTCAGTCAAATGTGGTATATGGTGCCAGAAAGAAGGCTGTCCAGAGTCACAGCAACACCAACACCTTGTAACACGAGATGTATATGGGAGAATTGGGCACACGCCCGTGCCATGGTCGCCCCAGGAGGATGACCCCGGATTGTGAGACCCTGGCACATGTGACTCGGTCAAGACCCTTCTGAGCATTAAAACAGTCCATCTCATGGCTCAGTGGAAGTACCGGCCACATGCCACTCATCAAAGACCTGAACTGAGTTGTTTTTTGCTCCCCTGCTAAAAGTTTAACTTTTATTGGTTTAATGGAGAACCCATTAGTT